TGTCAGAACATCTGCTCGAAGCAGGCCTCATCGTCGAATCATCCACCCAGAAAGCTATACAGTACTCTGAGTGTGGATCTCTCCGGAAAGATGGTGGTGGGCCAAGATCAGAGCCGTCACGATTGCCGCTACATGATGATCGCGGTCTACACCTTCCCGGTGGACGGTTCGGGTCGCTCCTTGGTGGAATCGGTTGAGTCTTCGCGCATTGACTCACCACTTCTGGCTGCAGATGATGAGTACACCCCCACCCCGGTGGTGATGATCCTGGAGTGGACTACCTGCCGGAAGAGGCGGTTGGCCTGGAGGAGATTCCGGGGGAGGTGGCGGAGAACAAAGGACGAACTGCCTTTGATGCATGGCAGAAGGAGGTGGAAAAGGTACAGGACGTGACGGTCCGTAACCTCACGTTCGTGGAGGTTCTCCCTGGCAGATCAGTTCAACACATTCTGCCTGCTTTGGCTCGCATCTATGCTCGGTTGAGAAGTCTTGGATTGCCGTTGTACCGTCTCCATTGTGATCGAGCCCGTGAACTGATTTCTGCACCTGTTCGTCGATGGACGTTGGACAGGGGGATTGTCACTACTTTGACCTCCGGCAGTTCATACAAGTCCAACGGTCGGGTTGAGAGTGAGCTGGGGGTGGTAAAGAAACACATCAGGACAATCCTGGCCACCACGGAGACCGGTTTGGACAGTTGGCCGTTGGCTGCCATTCACATCGGTGAAAGAAGGCTTCGTGGCCAACTCAGGAGTCTTGGCATTCCCGTTGGCCCATTGCTCCAGTTTGGGGCCCGCGCCTTTGCCTTGAAGAAGTCTTGGCAAGACAGATATGAACCTTGGAGAAGAGCTCCGGGACGAGGTGATCGTTTTGGGACCAGCTCTTCAGTCTTCATTGACATCTACCTGCTATTACGTTCAGTCCGTGGAGACAAAACGATACTTCTACACCGATGACGTGGTGGTTCCACATCCTGATCAGCCTGAGGCGAGTGACGTTTTGGTGCATCTGCCGGAGATTGAGGGCGGTGACGTGCCTTCACGACCTTTGTGGGATGGAAATGTTCCCCGACGTCGCCTTCGCGAAAAAACAGCAGTTCCTTCCATGTCCACGTTGCGCATGGAGGGGGAGATCAGCAGCCGTGTTCAAAATTGGCTGTGCACTCACCGTGACGTGTTTGATGTCCACGCCCCAAATGATGCTGAGCTGTTCAAGGCGGAATGGAGCAGTGACAGTTGGACCATCGAAACTCCATCAAAGACTTCATCCAGCGCTGGTGAAGGGGACTCCCAGGGTGCCGAAAAAGAAGAGGTTTCCATGGAGGAGGATCCAACCGGCAGAGGGGATGTGGAGGAGGCGCCTAATAGCCAGGACGGTGGCTCAAGCCTGGCAGCCTCAATTAAGAAAATGGCACCTGGGAGGACTCCGTTCACCAAAGTCCAATTGCTCCAATTTGTGCAGGCCAACTTGGCGGAATATGTCAAGGAGGAGATGGGCCACTTGGACATTACCAACCTGGAACAGGGTTGGTATATGGGGGCTTTGTCGGAAGCCATCATAAGGAAGGTGGAGTTGGAAGAGCAGCTTCTCCAGAATCATCAAGAACAGGAAGCACTCAATGGCAAGGAGCTTGAAGAGGAGTTCCTGGTCACCAAGACCATCAGTAACCGAGAGGTCATGGAGGACTTTGACAACTGGGCGCCAGCTATCACAGCAGAGCACGGGCAGTTGGTCACCACAAAGCAGGCGGTGGAGCAGATCACCAAGGAAGCTTTGAGGGTTCGAGCAGCCAGGAAGGGAAGACAATAGAATTGCTCCCAGCAAAGATGGTGTACACCCGAAAAGCGGGGACAGGTGCTTGAAGGGCTCGGGCTGTGTGCTGCGGCAACTACTCAGAGACCAGGTTCGACGAGGATTGCTATGCTGGAGGTGCTGACGGATGTCAGGTGAGGGCGTTGGTGAGGACCGCGGCTCTCAAGGATTGGAGAATAGCAGCCACTGACACCCGGGTTGCTTTCTTGAACGCTCCTCGTCGTGAAGATGGCAAATTGGTTGCAATGGAGATCCCGGCAGTGTATCGCCGCTTAGGCTTAGCCAAGGAGGGCGAAGTTTGGCTGGTGCGCTTGGCCATGTACGGCCTTACAACATCCCCCAGAGACTGGTCACAATACAGGGATCGCACCTTGCCGGTTGTCAGTTGGGTCCGGGTGAGGATGGAAAACAATCAGGCCAAGAGAGTCAGAGGCCACTTCATCAAAACGGAGGACGAGAACCTGTGGAGGATTGAGGAGGTCGACATTGAGTCTGGTGTGACGCACTGGACTGGGTTGATGTCCGTCTATGTGGATGACATCTTAGTTTCGGGTGAAGAAGCTACCGTGAAAGTCGCCCTAAGTTCTCTGCAGACCACATGGACCACATCAAACATTGAATGGGCCTCATCCACCTCAGCGGTTCACTTCTGCGGTTTTGAGATTGCCCCGGATGAGGGGGGAGATGGATTTCACATAGCTCAGAACAAGCATGAGCAGGAGATCCTGTCGCGATGGAATGTCAGTGCTTCAGTGGCCTTTCCAAACTTCAAGACCAGCGAGGGTGACAGTGAGCAACAACCCGATGTGGACCGAAACCAGGTCCGCGAGGCACAGGCCTTAGCCGGTTCTTTACTCTGGCTATCGACGCGGGGTTGCGGCTATCAGCTGACTTGTCAGCCGGAATCCAGCCAAGGCGGTTGAGATCGGGCATGGACTCCTGGCCTATGTCAAGGGCAATCCAGGCGGTTTGCACTACCCCAAGCACATCAAGAACAAGTGGGGTGCCAGAGATCAGTTGAAAGCGCAAAGACATGATCGTCTGCTGGAGGTGTTCGCGGACATCGCGTACGGCACTGGCACCGGCTACAAAAGCGTTCAGGGCTTGGTGCTCTGTTTCGCGGGAGCCCCTATTGCATGGCAGAGCTCCACCCAACCTTTCGTATGCCATAGCACGGCAGAAGCCGAACTGGTTTCGTACTGCGAAGCTCTGACCGCAGGAAGAGCCACTGAGGCCTTACTATGTGCTATGTGGGGGGAGCCGCTGGCAGCTAACTCCTTCGAGCGGGTGATCTATGGGGACAACGCTGCAGCAATTGGGCTTGCTCATGGAAACAGCAACACGTCATGGCGGACGAGGCATTTGAGAGTCCGCTCGAACATACTTCGAGAAGCCCTTGAAGAACAGAACTCTTACCCCGGTGGCCCATGGAAGCTAAACCATCTCAAGGGGACGGAGTTGGTGGCGGACGGCGTGACAAAGCCATTGATGCATGGGGCAAAGTTTTGAAGGCTTTCAACGTGATCTGGGCATGAAGAGTGGGGTCCAGGTCAAGAAGATGGATGGCGGCATTTCGACGCCTCAGACACAAGATCCTCAAATCGCTCTCCGTACCTTGGTGGTGGGTAGTCTTCTGGTGAGAGTTGCTGAGGCACAAGGAGATCAAGAGATGGACGAAGCCTTTGGTCGTATTTGGCTGTGTGGCTTGGTGCTGGTGGTGATTGGGGCAATATGGGTGGCGAAAACGTTGTGTACTTCGGTGCGCTGCTGTCTCCGCCGATTGCATGTGCTGCCTAGCAGGCCTAACAGCCTCGAGGGTGAACTGGAGGCGGAGGAGAAAGTTTTTACTACTTCCTTGTGTTTGAAGCGGCAGAGAACGAGGAGCTCTACTACAAGAGGGGAGGAGGCCGAAGATGATCGGAGCAGCCGCAGCTCGGTGACAGAAGAAGCCGAGAGCCAATCCTCCAGTGAAAATGAGGAGGAAGGGGCTGCGAACAGGGTCTGTGAAGTCGAACGGGCCCGTGAAGAAGAAGAAACTATGAGACGGCGGAGGTCTACGTCCAGTGGGGAAGAGGGAAAGCTGCGAGAGCTCAAGTTCACTGAGTGTTTCAAGTGAACGAGCCCTTCAAGCAGCTGAGAAGGCGGCTGAGAACGCCGAGATGGCGGCGCAAGCGGCCGGACAAGCGGCTGAAGGAGCCATGGTGGCAGGGCGAGCTGCTGAGCAGGCGGTTGCAGTATCCACACGACTGCGCCAGGTGATTTCGCGGCCTTCGCGTTCAAAGGCCTTGGTGGGTTCATCGTCAACATCCCACAGAGGAAGCCAGAAACGAGAGCCATCCCCTGCAAATCCATGGAACAAGTTCCAGCGAAACAACGCTGGGCGTGGTTGGTCTATGGAGACCATGCGAGCTGAACACTACAAGCTCAAGAGCCAGAGCCTAAAAGGCCGAAAGTAGAGAAATGCCTTGAGCCTACTTTTCCCGTTTAAATCTGTCCAAGAGACAGATGGGGGAGTCTGTTGAGCGTTGAGCGTGGTGCTAACACCATGATACATGACATACCACAGGCATTTGTTTCTCGAGTGAAAAAGGAGCGAGGGGATTCCTTTTGTCAAGGCTGTATTGGGGCCAGTATGGTAGTTGGTTGGCAGCGACGAGTGCCTATCAGAAAAGGGGCCCGTGTACATAGCAACTTGGTGGGGTGAAGAGATTGCTGTTTGAGGATGGGTTATAGTCACGGATCTGTGGAATACTTTTGGATGAGGGTTGGTGACACCAATGCTGAGGCATATAGTTAGTTTTCTGCCATCCTCCTAGTCATCCTTTCAGAGAAGTCTGGTTGGATGTATTGGGGCAAGTATAGTAGTTGGTTGGCAGCGACAAGTTGCTATCAGAAAAGGAGCCCGTGTAGATAGCAACTTCGTGGGGTGAAGAGATTGGTGTTGTTTAAGGACTTGTTATAGCCACGGATCTATGCAATATTTTAGGATGACGCTTGGTGACACTCATGTTGAAGCATACAGTGCCTGCCATCGTCCTAGTAAGCATGTGTTACTTGGATGGTTTCTTCTTTTGACCCTCTCGTCTGGCGGCTGCTGGCTTTCGTTCCCCCCTTCTCAGGTATATATATACATATGCATGTAAGAATATATTCAGGTTGCAACGGTCAAGTGAAGATTGCTTTCGCAGGCTGAAAAGTTGAGAGGAAAGAAAACCCTGCATCCGTTTGGAAAGCTTGAGAGGCATGAAGTTGTTTTTATGTCAAGATGATGTTGCAATGCCTTTTGATTGCCCAGGTTGAAGCTTGTACATGTATTGGATTTGGCGCCGAACCCGATTTGCCCTGTTTCATTTGCTGGACAACGGATGTGGTCAGCAAAGCTGAGGTTGAAGGTCCGGCACAAGCTCACGCTGGCAACCGATACTTGTGGGGACAGCTGGAGAAGTTGTTCTTCGTGGAGCTGGCTGGTTAATGATGCCAGGATGGTTGTCTCATGATAAGTTTTTCCGGAAGGTAAATGCCAAAGTGCTGTCGATGGGGGAGCTGGCACGTGTACTACATGCTTTTGGTCTAAGACATCTTGAAAAGCAGCCGACACAGCTTTACAATGCACATGACACGTATCATGGACGTACCAGTTGGGGACATGACTTGATCAAGGCGGAGCCCTCCGCCTATGCGCTTGCTGCACCTTGTGATCTCCCCGGTGAGGATTGAACAGATTCTTTTCGATGCAACTCTGACTTCAAGGCTTCCAGCCGCCTTCAAGAGGCACCGAAACATCCAAACGCAACTATATCGATGCCAATTCATGGAAACTATAAACATTGTTACATTGCCAATTCATTATGCCGCATCAATGAGTTGAAGTGTTTGCAGCTTTCCAGCTCCAGGTTCAAAGCTGCTCTCTTGCGGAGCTTGCCTCAGTAGTGAGGGCCTTTGGCATTTTCTCTGCGCGGGAGATGAAGTTGCTGAACAGCTGCTCTGCCGCTCTTCGTACACTTTGTCGGCAGGACTGCATTGTTTTAGATTTTGAAGCAGCATAACCTTTTGCATAAAGAAACAATTCAGCTAAGTTCTGGCTGCATAGGACCAAGATATGTCAGAAATTGAGCCCTGCGCTGAGTTGTTGCTGTTTTGTCAGTCCACACATGTGAACCTTCAAGGCCGGATCATGTCAGCCGGCTTTGCGTGGGCCTAGCAGAGCTGAGGAGCGGCTAATTCGAGGAATTTGTGTGGATGAGTTTGTGTGTTGGTGTCACTGTGTCGCCAGCAAAAGCAGTCGAGAGGTGGCCTGACCAGACTGCGCTGCAGTTTGTGATGCAGTTTGTTGTTGAGGCCTTATCTGAGGCCTGAAGAATTGTGAGTTCTATTTAAATCTAAGCATTCACGTTGTACAATGGCTTTGCTGGTGGATGTGAAGTTTGAAACTTGGAATTAGTATCAATTAACAGTCAGCATTCTATAGTACTACTGGGAAGGCGAAGAAGACTGATCCAAGGCCGATTTCGTTACTCTTCTGTTTCATTAAAAACAGGAAGCTTGGCTCAATCTGGGAGGAAGAAAGTGAACCTCTTCCAGATGCAAAGCTCCCAGTTGCCGTCAGAGTCAGTGCGACATGATCAGCATTTGCATCTCTAAGTCCAAAGTTTGAGCCTGAAGAGACTTTTCGCTACATCACTCAGGTCAGATCTGAATGTTATCAGTTTTCTATTTGCGCTGCTCCTGATTTGCCAGGAAGCTATTGTACATATTTGCGAGGCTTTTGCTGCCTTGGAGGCGTTGTGTACAGTGCACCCGTGCATGTGCCGCCATTGGCCATTGCTTGAGATCTGGCTAGGTTCATTCAGAGCCACTTTTTCGGGCAGTGGTGCAAGACGTCCTGCAAGGCAGGTGGTTTGGCATGCAATGCAACTGACCGAGGGCAAATGAGATCCATGCGGCTGAGGTACTGACCGCAGGTCTCCACGTGCGTGGCTTCTTGGCACCAAACATTTCCAAAGTAGACAAGTTTGCATTGACATTCATGGATGGTAGGACTGCTGAGGAATTCGGGTGTACTCCTGGGGCGCCTTGCCTACAGCCTTGCAAGGCTCCAGCCTTTTATTTGCAAAATGACAAACAACAATGACAAACAACAAGGTGTGAACTTGACCTACACGCTCTATATACTGTAGAGCCTTTCTACTTTGTGTGAGCAAGTGAGATGGCTTCTACGACAATGACCAAGAGTTCATTTGGATGATTGGCTGGAACACTGAATTGACATCAATTATGCTAGACAAGTAATATTAACCTCGATAGGCGTAATATATATGTGTATGCAAGCTGACAGGAGAGACACTGTATGAAGGCTTCATTCAGAGCCATTTTGTAGGATCCCAACACATACGTTGTTTGTATTATTTGCTTTTCAACTGGGGCTATGCAGCTATAGTAGCTTCTGCAGAGACTCTGCTGCTGTAAAGCCATCGGACATGGTACCTTCATGTTTGATTACCTGCCATACAAGACGTATTCACAATGCAAATGTGAACAGGGAAGATGGTTTTTGTATAACACCGTTCTGTCATGGAATGAGAGGATGCTTCATTCATGCACCACAAGCAGAAGCTGTAAGCCTTCGTAGCCAGTGCTATACAGCCTTGTTGCGGTGGGCCTCCCATAGGGGGACGTGCCTGTGGGCAGCGCAAAACTATGTCGTCCTAAAACCATGTTCGGATCACTGGCAAGCAGATGCCCCCTAGAGCATGCGCATTGATTCTTTGTGTGGGCAAAACCAAACACGCCCACCAAAGAGTTTACGGTTTTGTACCTTGTCCGCACTTGCGCAGCCGTCGTGGGCAGCTGTTGGTGTCCCGTAGTACTCGGACATCTTCCGGGTCGACAAGCGCTGCTGCCGCCATGTCCGCAGCAAAGAGTTCATGACTTACAGACTAGCTTGCAAGTCACTTCATGGGCCATCAGGCTGCAAGCCCCTGCACGTGCTCAAATTTAAATATTGTGGACTGACCCAGAAGGCGATCGACGAAGTATCGTGTCCTTTATATCCAGATTCAATGCCGGGCTCCCACGAAACTTGCACCGGATCTGTTTACTTTGCACAGGGTACTGCAGAGTTTCCCGATCAACCCTTGTTGAAGGAGTTGTTTCGCATGCAAGATCTGCTGGACATGGGGCCGGGCATTGGAAGTATGTGCGCCGCCATGTGTCACAGCATTCCACGCTCCAGTGGCTCAAGCAGCAATGTGCTTGGGGTAGCGCCAGGAGCAGCGGATGTGTTTCAGCGTTGTGCTGACCTCTACCAGGTGACGCGGAGCTGACCGACGTCCACCGCCGTGTAGGTGGATCAATCGTGGGTGCGCAAGCGGCCCTTGCGCTGGGGGTTGCGACAGGGGAAGCCGAAGCAGCGGGGGCCTGTTGACGTGAACAAAGGGCGGCGGCAGGGCCTGCTGGGGAGAAACGCAACTGCACTTCGTTTTGGATCTCCCTTTTGGTGTTCCTCTTTGGTTTTGCCCAGCCAGTTGGCCATCTTTTGAGTGCCTATAAGCAGCGTAAGGATGATGAGACATCCGTGCCCATTTGTGATGAGACATCAGTGGCGTGCGCCGCTAGTCCTGCGCCTGGCTGTATTGCGCGTACCCATTTTAGGAGCAGCGCGCCGAGGTGCTTACACCTACTGCGGCGCCGCATGCCAGGACTCTGCTATTCAGCCTTTGTTGCTGCGTTGGGTGGTTGTAAGCCACGAGCGCTCAAGTTCTGCGTCCAGCTGTATGGAGCAGGCCCAAAAGCCGTGGCCAAGTTGGAGTGGCATACGCGCGTCTCTATGGCTAATCTTTTGAATGAAGTAACCTCCCATTGGCGTCAGATTGGTGGGACCACACAACGCAGAGGCTTGATATTTGCGCGGCCTGAATGACTTTTGACTTTCTCCAAACAATTGCACATGACAGATGAACCGTAGAGTCCCATTGAGAAGCGGTGGCGATCAGTCGTAGACTCCCTCAAGTTTCCCTTTCCCTTACCATGGGGTCATTTGATGTGAGCGTGACTACCTGGTGGCTATGTTCGTTTTAGCTCACTTGACAATTCTCAAACGCCGGAAATCCATCCGGGATTCCGTGATGTCTGCATCCGTGCAAAGTCATTTGTCCACCGCATTTTGAACTGTGGCCATCTGCGGACATGCGTGCGAATTAGCCGATACGTCTGCGCTGACATTTTTATTGTCTATTTTCGGGCGCTTCGTATCGCTTGCCTGGGACATGCCTGGCCCGTTGATGTCGCTGCCGCCAGTGTGCCAACACATTGCCTGGAAGTCAAAAAGAGGTTCCATTCTGGCAGCTTTTGCCTCTCACTGTTTTTGCATGTAATATGCCCAGGGACTGAAAACCGGACCCACTTTTCTGACACTTTTGGATTCCACATCACATGGTGTTGGGGGGGATTGGGGGTGGGGTGAAGGTCAAATCCCCCACAGTGGAGCGTGTTTTTACACAGTATCCCTGGATTCAACTCACAGTCCAACGAGGCTCACATGAGCGAGTGAGCGAAGGCAACCGAGCGGCTGTTTTCACGCGCGCATACCGTGAGCCAACTGTTATGGCGTGTCAACGCATTGCTGAAGAGCATATCGCAAGATAACCAAGTAGTTGAAACAACAGCGTAAACGGGGTCCCAAAAACAGAAAACATGGGGGGGTGTTGTAGTTTCGTTCTCGCTTTCATACGTCTCATGAGCATTAAGGCTCAAAGAAGTAGCCACGGTGTGTGCTTTAGTTTTGTTGTGTCGGTTTTCGGGTTTTCCTTGTCCTCCTCGTTTTTTTGTGTCTTCTTGTCGTTGTCCACACTTTGGTGCAATGTGTGGTTGAGGTTTTCTTTTCGAAACAACAGAAATTAACTCCTTTTCTGTTGGAGGCTGTTGGTGTTGAGTTGGCGTTTGTTGCGTAGTTGTAGCAGCTCCATGTCGGATGGGTGCACCGCCACTGATTTGCTTGACAATGGCATCGGTGAAAAAGATTTGCACTCGGAGCCTGACCGGGGACAGCTAGTTGCACAAAAGACAGGCAACTTGAGGTGTCACGAAAAAACTTTTGTTTTTTAGGCAAAGCGCATGACAAGGCACTGCTTTTACCAATGAACTTGACATGAGAACCTGCAAGATAGGGTACGGTTTCCAATCCGTACGGATGTAAATGTAAATGTGTTATATGTATGTTATACACACATGTGGCAGAATCCGCTACATCCTTCTCCAGGCTTGGAGTTGTCCATCCGGGCCTCACCACATTATGGCTGAGGGCGAAGACGGCATCGTTGTGCAGCCTCTTTGTGATTGTTTTATGATGCTTTTGGTTTTGCGTCACCTTGCCGACTTTGCAAATGTACTGTAAGAGGATCAAATGCAGCTTCAATGGCAGGCTGTTCGTGCTGAAGATCGTCGTACATGTCAGCCCAAAGATGCTGTCAGCATTTTCGAGGCCAGCTATTGGATGTGTTTGTCCCAGCTGTGGTCAGGCCCTAGAGTCAAGGCATGTAATTGTGTAAACATGTGTAGTGTCAGCTCATGTCACATTGTTTCTTGCAACTTTCTGCCACAGGGTCAACGCGTTTTGTGGAGTTTGGCTCCTTGATTCAGCTTTTGTGTGCTTTGAACATTTTGAACAGGTAGCAAAAGCTGCAAATGTCTTGGGTGCTTTTCACAGAGAGCCTTGGTCATTCTAGTTGTTTTTCCTTTTATCATTGTCCAGCTGTTGCATCTGAAACAAGTATCAGCACCTTTATCCTTATCCCAAGTGGTCCATGTCAAGGAGCTACATTTGCGCCTCGGCCGCCGAATTCGTTCTTCATTGCGTTTGAGTCAAGACCTCAGCTGGCTGTGAGTTTCAAAGAGTCCGTTGATATTTATTTGTAGAGGTGCTGAAGATGTGCACGCCAGGAACTCACTTGGAGTGTTGTGCAGAGCGAAAAAATTGTGGTACAAGCAAGGTAAATGTGCCACAGCTAGCTTTGACTGTGGCAGAGCTTTCAGGCAGACCGTGCTCCAGAGTGATTTTTTAAATTTGGATTGGTGCAGAATTATATAGGTTGTAGTTGGACACTTTTTGGAACCGCTTTGCACCAGCTGACAGATGTAGCAAATGCAGAACACCAACCACAACTGCCTGCCCAGGCCTCAAGTCTCAAGCCCTTTGTTTTGATAAGAATCAATGACCGAAATTTTTGTGATGTTACGGCGCCTTTTTTCCACAGACCGACAACAAAACCGTTGAAACCATATTTGCCATCTATCCCTCCATAAATCTCAAAGATCGAAGTAACAAGTACTGAACTGGACGTGTCCAGGTACCTCGACTGTCAGCACTGTCAGCTGTGTTTGTTGGCAAGAATATGAAATATGACATTACCTGCAGCTCCGAAGAAAGGAAGTCACTGGAAACACTCAAGTCGACGGGCAACTGCTTAGCAGTTACTGCTATTTTGCAGCTTTGTGGATCGTAGAACCTGGCTAAGGACTCCGGACACACAGGTGTTTTGCATGACTATGGGCTGGTTTGTTTGACTTGCTTTGTTTCCTGGTAAAGGACATCACCATCGGTGTTGTTTTGTGACCCATTGCTTGACTTGAAGAAGGACTTGGCATCAGTTGCATTCTAGTTTGCGACAGCAAACAAGGCCCGAAGAACACCTTCTGCAGAGCAGCTGGAGGTAGCGTTGCGCTGCCTTGCAGTGCCTTTGGCTTCCGCCTTTCCAATAGACTTCAATTCTCTTCCAATTTGCTAATTCAGTCGCAAGAAACGAGGTGCTCTCTTGCGTTGATCGTGCAGATGCCTGGCCTGTGTGGTGCACTTACCAGCAATGTTTTGACCTACTCCCTTCATGTCCTTTGGGCTTCCAAAGAAACTGGACATGTGTCAATGCACACTGCTCTCTATGAGATAGGAGCACCCTTGCTCAGGCTACAGGCATCATCAAAGTATGCATACCAGATTCAAGGCAGGCCTGAACTGTCATACACAAAATGCCTGCATCCCCTGAAGAGTGCAATCACAACACCCCAGTGTTCTGTGATTGATGTGAATCACATACATCTATTTTTGCTTGCATTTTGTCAAATTTCAATCCTGATACCCTCAAGATCACGATGCCCTTTGAATTCCCAACTGATGGTCCGATCTTTGAGCCTAGACTCTGGGCGAGACATGGACATTGACACTTTGACCTTCGCTTTTGGGTTCCCGAAAGAGTGGGGAGGTGTTGAAAGTTCTAAGTCAATAGCAAGCACCAAGGAAACAGTGGCACATCTCGCTTAGCTGTCCCATAGAAATTGGAGTTGCGTGACAACCGTAGAAAACCTGTTGCAACTTTGCACTGTCTACTCTGGCGGCTTGAGAGGCCAGCCGGTGAGGGTTCTTCTGCCCTTCCTTTCACTCTGCTCGAGTTTGCTTCCAAAGGACTGATTTTGTGGTGTTCTTTTGCAACACATGGTTTCACAGTAGTTCCAGGACGCTTGGCCATGTTCAGCAAACAAAGTTTTTGCTCAGCTTGACCAGCAGAAGCCAGAGTGAGGTGCCCCAGCCAACAGCAAGAGCGTCACATGTAGCCTTTCTTCCAATATATAAAGTTACAGTATGCTTGGAGCGGCAAGGACATTTTATTAAAGAGAGCGGGGGACTGTGAGAGTGCAGTTTTTAATTGTTTTTAAACAAGTGTTTGGTATGATTTGATGCTTAAGATATGCAAAGATGCTTGTTTTCACTCCAGGGCAGAAGATACCACTCTACTCTAACATGGGGCCTGGGTTTTGGTTTTCCCAAAATTTTAGGTAAATGCTTCAGTGGTAGCCCCTCTCCATATAAACACATATATATATATATAATCTGTTCCTGCTCTCTCTATATGAACAAATATATTATGTATTCCTGAATCAGGGTCATTTTATTGTTTTGGAAGCAGCAAGCAGTCATTCAGATGGTTTTGAACAAAATAATTAGGAAAGAAGCAGGTCTCTAGATCTCTGCTTATATAGTTATGTTTAGATTTGGAACGATTTTATATAGACGCGTTTATGTTACACATGATTCTCTATAGATCTCTGCAGATAATCATTTTTAGATTTAACCAACTATATAGAAAGCTTGTATGTTAAAAGCTTTATTCTAGATTTCTGCGGGTAAGAGCTTGCAGCATTGCATTTTCAAAGTTTTCCTCTGGATCTTTGGGAACGTAGATATCCCATATATGTGTGTTTTCATGAAATGAAAGCTCTTGAAAGAATACCATATTTATTGATATATAGCATGTTTAAATTGACATGATCATTTCCAGAGATCCAGAGGAACGCTTTTGAAATGAAAGCTTTTATATATAGTTTTATTGTAGAAATGATCATCCACAGAGACCTAGAGGGAAGCTCTTGAATTAGAAGCTTGTACATAAAACATGTTTAATATGTCTATATTATTTCCAGTGATTACTGTAAATAAACAAAATCTAACTATTTACTTCAAAAAGAGTTTTAGTCTTGTTCCCAGCACTCCCAGGGCAAAAAAATACTGTAAAACACGGGGTTTTGTAGCATGTGTTTTCTTAAACTAAATAGACTAGAGCTAGAATAGAATTAGGTAGAATTAAATTGGATTTGAGTTAGAGCTAAGATAGAACTGAATAAAAACCGAATTTCAAATACTCTTGTATTGAACTATAACTATAACCTATTTAACATTAGATGAGAGTTGAATTAGAAAGGAATTGGAATTAAAATTAGAAGTTCGCCAGAATAAGATGTAAAACGCTTGAGCTACAAGATGCACAAGTCGAGGAGGCTTGGCCATTACAAAGCCGAAGCAAAAGCAACAAGCATTGAATTAGAACTAAAGCTTACACAGATTCATAACAATTTCATGTAATTTGGAAGGTATCATTACAGTTTCATGTCAAGCTGATTGGACATGCAATTGGCAAACACATTGATACCAATCAGAAGTTAATGCACAGACTTGTACATGGAGATTTCGACAAGGACAAGTAAGTGGTGGGCTCAAACGCTTTCATTGTAAGAGCAAAGAACATATGCCTTTAGGTGAGACTTAGGCTCACATACTTGAAGGTTGAACGAAATAGTAAGAACACAGATTGACCTCAATAGGAAACCAAAAAAACAAAAAGCCTTGAGAAAACCAATAACAACCTAGGAAAAGCCAAAAAACCTTGAAAAAGCAAAACAACAAAAGAACCAAAAACAAAACAATTCTGGCAGCTTTGATTGACACATAGCATGAATGCAGGCCACAGTGGGAAGTTTATAGCGCATAGATGGAAGTAGGCAGCAACAACACATAAAATACGCACTCTGGTGGTCCCCTGTTCTGTTATTAAACTTATTGCTACCCTGCACATGCGATGCTTGCATGAACAAGAGTTTAAGTATAGCCACTGAACTCCAGTTCCTTGAGCTCTGCTGTTTTTGACCATGTTTGCTCTTGGTCCTATGGTGTGCTTCAGCTCAGTGATGGCTTGTGAGTTATGAGTTGTGGGATGCATGGGCTTTGTACCATTACCATAACAGTGACGTGAGGCTGGCGAGCACTGCCGAGCTACTAGAGACCCATCGCTGTAGTGCTCTGATTGCATCCCAGGCGCAGGGACACCAGGGACACCTTATCCTTTTTTCTTTTAGGGCTACTTTTTTGGGCTGGGTTTTACTAGCTACTGGTGCAGGATAGCGCACGGATCGCACTATTCATTTGGTTCCTGCAAAACAGGAAAGAATCAGTTATATATGTAAGTTTCCCAAAAAATCGAGTAACCAAATCATTAGCGCGAGCTAGCCTGCGTCCTACCTAGGAGCATTCTTGTAGGTAGTAGCTACCTCTTCTACAAGTTACTTCCTACCTCTCGCGGCCTACCCCCGGGCTAAAAATTCAAAACACTTAAAAGCATCCTTCAGTGTCTTCCTCACGTGCGTTCTCGTGCCCCTTTTACCTCAGGAGAGCCTTCGCCTTCAAGGTGTGATCTCAAATAGATCTCTTTTACGATGTACCGGAGAACTCCGGTTCGTAGCGTCCTTGCTCCTAGTAGCGTCCTTGTTACTACTAGTAAGGCACTTGTTACTAGAAGCGATGCACTTGTTCCTAGTAACGTCCTTGCTCCTACGGTTTGTCAGCCATTTTCTGGAGTTCTTCGATGTGGACATTTTGACGAGCATTGCCCCATATTGGTATCGCTCTTGGACACAGATTCCAGCTTGAGACAACGAGTTCATTTTCCCAGGCAAAAGCTCTGAGACAGCGTGTATATGGCATCGTCGCAGGTTTTGCAGGTCAGCTTCAGATGTGCTGTGTCAGTCGAGTGGGAACTTGTTCCGGACATGTGACATGTGTCAAGTTCGTGGTGATTGGTAGACAGTCAGGTGAACAATTTGGTGACTCACAACTGCGTGCGCTGTCAGACTATGCCACAATAGTTGAGGCTTGGACTTTGCAAGCTCTTTTTTCAGCAATATTTTCTATCTTGTGCTAGGCTAAACTGAAGAATGTGAGTTTTCCAACTGGCAGTTCGCAACAGGTGCTCCGCAAACATTCTCCGGGTGCGGTGGGACGGGAGGAGGCTGTCTATTTTGAAGCCCTTCGAGCATTTTGGTTCCCTTGGTCCATGAGCTATGGAGGCTGAATTGGCAGTGTCTGCTGGGCACACTCTTCGGGTCATCGTCTTGGTTCTGTCAGGTTGAAGGGATTGGCTGGAACATGATTGGAACGTTTCTAAGGTCAGACTAGGTCAGAAGCCTGCAGTCAGCCTAGGCAGCTTCAGAATCTTTGTCTCGCATTTGTTCAGTCAACTTCTGGAGTTCGGTTAGATTCAGCTGCATTTGGACCAGGAACTGCCGTTTCTTTGGCCCAATGGCATGCTTCGACTTCAGCTCCAGCCTTGGTCACTGAATGCAGTGGGCTTTTTTTCCAGATGAATTGCCTTCTACTGAGTGAGCCAAATAGACTGACCCCACATGCAACCGTGCCTGCAACCTGACCTCCTTTAGGTTCCTGCTTTTGCTTCGGCTCGACACTCTTGTGAGATATTATCAACAAAGGTGGGCAGAGAACGTATGATTGTGATTTTTTAAAATAGTCTTGAAACTGTTGCTTGATCAACCTCCAGGTGCAGCATTTAGAAGGATCGAGGCTGAGGCTGTTTGTAGCAGTTGACACTTGTTTTTGTGCTCCTCAGTTTTATGTCACGCTTTCAATTCCGATCACTTGGCAGGCGTTCAATCTTCGCAGCATTGCAGGAGAGAATTCATGTTTGGGCTTGCCTCTTTTCCCCAGCGACAGTTGGGGATTCTTGAGTGTCCTGACTGCTTTCCAAACAATAGCTATAAATCCTACTGGAACGCATTTTTCCAGTGTTCCTCTAACATGCTTGTTGCTGGAGCAGGCTTTTTTGCACGGATTTCTCAGTCCCCTTGCACCCAGTGGTTGCCAATGCCTTTGGCTGTGTGTCTTCTAATCCTTCTCCTCCTTCTCCTTGGTTCGTTTCATTCCTTACATTACTCAAATAGTGATTGAATTATATAGTGGGTGGAACTGTGGGAGTTTGGCAGAGGCCTCGCTTGGATCGACAGGGTCTTTGTGGATCCCAGTGCTTCGAGCTCTTGCCTCATGCCTGATAGTGCTGTGCGATGGCTTTGCCTCACTGCTTTTTGAGGCCTTGGTGGCAGAGCTGCAAAGGATTCCGCCAGATTTAGAAGTCAACTACAGCAGATACAGCTTGTCAGCTGCTCTCCGTCTACTGGGTGCATTCTTCAGTGTATCCAGGAAGATTTACCTTCAGCCAGCAGAGGAACTGTTGGGTTCCCCACGTGAGTGGCATCAAAAGCAGCAAGTCCTCAAGACCATTCAAGAACCAACTTCCTCTGAGGCTGCGATTGGCGGCTCACTTCTTGAAGGCAAATCACGTGTGAAACGACTTCTCCTTTTGAGAAGAGCCTTGGAGCTTGTAGGCCACCAGAGCACGGGGTAAAGTCCTGGGTAAAGCTCGCAAGCAGCTCCAGCAGAGACCCGAGACTCCCTATCCAATTCGCATTTGACTTGCCAAAACTCTAAACGTCTAAACTGAAAACTGTCAGTCCTTGCATTTCTTTCTGGTTTCGGATAAAGAACATGCTAGGTGTCGAGCAAAGCTGCCAGAGCCAGTGCTCCTTGGCCGGACAGGCTGGACAACTTCGATTTCCCATCTTACAACTCTTCGATTTCCCAGTCTTAGAACACTCTTTTTTTTCCCAGGTGCGCACATTGTGGTTTGCAGACTGCTTAAGGAACCGGCGTTACTCTCCCAGGCTTGTTTGGGCTGCATTGAGCTTGGATGGGACCTCCAAGCATTCATAATTGACCGCTACCTGCATGGTTTGCTTTAATCTAAAGAGACCGTGCCAACTTGGATTTGCTGGAACCGTACTGGAGAGGCAAAGCAAGCTCAAATCATCAAGAAAGAAATCACCACCGAGCACTAGACACTGCCACGGATCATGAACGCAACACCAAAAGCTGGTTGTTGCAGGAATGTTAATGAACTGGTGATGTCAATAGTTCCACACTCCATTGCCGCATCACTTGCATCGTGCTCAAATGTAAGTTACATAAAAGCTATCCCACCGGCAGCAACGAAACAATAGCAGTTAAATGAGAAAACGCAGCAAAAAGATATGCTTTGCAGATTTACAAGTAAGTTTAGGGCAACTTCTCTGTCCCAGGTGGAGGGCACGACAAGCCTGTCAAGGCCATGGGGAAAGAAAGGACACCCTAAGGCCAAACTCACTCAGCTGTGCAGGGAACAGGGTGGCCAGAAACACTGACTGTAGCAGGGTGCCAAGAGATGCTGCTGCAAGTGCTGTGCTGGGACAAGACATCCCACGGTCACTTGATTTGTCTTCTTGTGGCGCGAGTGTTCACAAAAGCAAGCTCGCAACGAGCTACGAACATGGGCTCACAATGAAAGTTCCGTAACGGCACGATGACCTGGGTGGGGCAGCATGCGCCGTGGGTTCGGTGGGGGTCCCATCACTTATGCAGCAAGAATGGATTCGTTGCCAGCCCCAGAATAAGTTGTGGTTGCCTACCAAACTATTCTAAAGCTTTCCCAAAGGGAAACACAGATCACTGCAGATCACCAGAAGCCACCACCAATGGCCGCAGCACAACATACACCATCTCAAGCCATTCTTCATTGAATTTGCCAGCCATCCTTGACCCTCACATCATCACATCCTGGAACAGATTGAAACCAATTCTGCTAACCGAACCATTCCACCCTCAAGAGAGTGCACATTTCCTCACTTTTCCCAACCCTTGCTACCTTTTGTAACGATAGATCACTCTCATGATAAGGGGCAGTGAAACTTTGCAAAGTGTCAGGTCTCTGCTGCAGCTCTGAAGGCAAGGAGTCTTCCCCACCAGAGGAAAATGCAAAAAGAACGCTGCAGGAGGCATTGGCTCTCGCCATGAAGATGAAGGCGAAGAGGTCAAGAAAGCCTAACCAGAGATTGCGCGCTGTCGGTTCCTCAAGCATGCGAAAGCAAGGCATATGCATCACTGTACACAGCTTGCTTGACCTGTACAAGGAATCATCGACTCCCCATCCTGCCCTGCTTCCAGACAATGTGCCGTGGATGGTGACGCCTGTGTCAGCAAAGGCAGACATTGAAGTTGTAGAATTGCTGTGACGAATCGGAGCATTGAGTGTAAGATCGTTGAATATGTGTTGTCAGCATCTCCGTGGCATAACAAGGCCACCAAAACTAGCAGCTCAAAGTCAGCAGCCAGGTCGAACATGGCCTCCTCCCTCTTGGCCAAGCTGGATGTTTTCTTAGACGCTGTGCCTGCGCTCGACTCAGATTTTGAAGCAACACTTTTAGAATCCATGGCAACGTGTGACGATCCTGTTGGAGATTCTTGTGCCAGGGATCTGTACCGCTGCTCGTGTTGGCTGGAAATCCAGAATTGTGCAATGTTTGTCAAGAGGATGGATTTGAAGGCAAGGCATGGCCCTCGCCATGCCTGTTTCGCTTGCCTTTTTGGAATATTTATGGTGGAGCGAACTTTGGATCTTGTGACATGTTTGGTCTCTGGCGATGCAGCAAGGTTTTCCATGGATCCCACTCAGCGCACAAGCTCGTCACGGGTTCCTGCTCATCAGGTGTCAGAAATCGGCTTGCGACCAGACACCAAAGCTTCATTTTCCTTTCCTCCCGAGCCAAGCGTGGGCAAGGTAGAGCACAAACTTAGGCTAACAGCCGAAGAAGGCAGTGAAAGGTTTGAGGAGCTTGTGACACAATTGAACTGGAGAATGCGAGAATGCAGTTCTGCAGAAGAATGTGCAGATTTGGAAGAGCTGTCCCAGTACAGAGATGCTTTATACCGACTTGGCGTTTCTGATGATGGACAAGTGCCTGGCCTCAGTGATGCAGAGCTTGCAGAGTCCTTGTCAGTCCTCAAAGCTATGGCAGCACAAATACCAGCCACAGTGACAGTCATCAGCCAGACTGGTGGCATAGGCCCTGGCAATCGAACTGCAATCACAGCGCTGGTGCGTGCTTGCCAGTCTTCTTTTTTCCTTCGAGGTGGAGATGAGGTGAGAATATGCACCGTAGGCAACGTAGACTCTTGGACTTAACTGCATCGGACGTCACAGCAGGCTCGCCACTCCTGCCCCTAACTACTCCTTAGAACATGCACTTTAAACAGAGATTGAAGTAACTGAGGACTCCGGCAAGTCAACGCTCTTGGGACTGCTGACACAGGGCCTTCAGGATGACGGTCGTGGACGAGCCCGCGCCGCTGTCTTTCGGCACCGCCATGAGATAGAGTCAGGCAGAACATCGAGCATAGCAACATCCACCCTCGGATTTGATCAAACAGGCGAGGTTGTGAACTACCGGGTGGATGGAAGTGGACTTTTTCGAAGTGAGAAGCCACATCACAACATTGGTCGGATTGAAGCGCAAGCTCGGATCGCCGAGAAGTCATCCAAGCTGATTACATTCTTCGACCTTTGTGGACATGAAAGGCCGATGTTTTTCGATGTTGTTCACGTTTTTGCAATGTTTATCTTTGAAAATGAGTTTGTAAGACATTGATTGCTGAAGTGGTTCTGAGGTTTTAATCTTGTTGCAGGTACTTCAAGACCACTTTGCAAGGAATGGTTGGCCTGAATCCAGACTATTTGCTATGTACGGTGGATGCCAATCGTGGGGAAATGCGTGGAATGGTTCACGAACACCTTGTAGTTGCCCATGCACTTGGAATCCCGGCAATCATTTGCTTGACCAAATGTGATGTCGCAGATGAAGAGCGGCGCTATGCTGCACTGCTCGATGTGAAACGTTATATGAAGCAGCTGGGATCCAAAACACTTGTTGTGAAAGACGCCAATGATGCTGTGCTGGCGGCAGAGCGGATTCTTCAAGGATACAGCCCAATCTTTTTGTGCTCTGCTGTCACTGGAGCTATGGTACGAGAGTTGAAGCTTCTTCTGAACGTGATGTCACGTCGTCCAAGCTTGTTTCAAAAGACGCTCCAGACTGAACCAGATCTTCAAATCCAAATTGACGAGGTCTTTCCTCAGGTGCCTGGAGTGGGACTTGTCATTGCTGGCAGAGTGTTGCATGGAACTGCCAGACCAGGCGACGCTGTAAGGATCGGACCTATAGTTGATGCCTCTGGTGGCTTACTGAAAGATGGCTTTTTGAGTTTGAGAATCTCCTCAATCCGAGTGCAAGATCATCCTGTAGAGCAACTGCGGGCTGGCTCTAGTGGAACCTTCGCTCTAAAATCAGCAGGGAGGACAAAAGTATTGACTCCCCGCACATTGAGCAGGTCCAAGTTTTTGGTTGGGACCAAATCCATTTTGGCTCCAACAAGGTGGGTCAAGGCCACTGTCACCGTCCTGCAGCACCCTAGCTCCATCCGAGTGCGATACGAGCCTGTTTTGCATGTTGGGATGACACGTCAAACTGCCAGAGTCATGTCCATGACAAGCTCTGACGGGGAACCCGTCGATCTACTGAGAGCCGGCGATTCTGCTGACATTCTCTTCCGCTGGGCACATTGGCCAGAAATTGTTGAGCCTGGTTGCGCCCTGGTGTTTCGAGAAAACTCCGTGAAAGGAATTGGCACAGTTACCTGGGTTGGCAACTTGGATGAACCTAGAGAAGAGCGTACAAAGGAAGTTTCGAGAAAGAAATCCAAAGTCAAGCAGACCAAGTCTAAAAGGAAAGGCTCTGTGGAATCTGTTGCAGCAAAAAAAACAGATACTGACAAGAAGACTCGAAAGGGACTTCTTCAGGATAAAAAGAAGTCCAAACGCCCAAAACGATAGATGTTTTTGGAGTTTTGGCAGTCCTGACGGGCTTGTGGACTGGTTGAGCCGCAAACCAGAGGTGGCACAACTCCAGCTCCTTGTACAAAGGTCGGCCGTTTTCTCGGCCGCGCATTGGATTCGTTGAGGTGTTCTTTTTGTTTGATCAGATCTTGTTCTTTTAACTGTGGCAATGTCCACATGTTCTTGAGTCTGGTCATCAGACGAACAGCTCTCAGACATTCGTGGAATGCGCGCAGAACTGTCTTTGCAGTCTGCGTGTTCGACAGTCAGCACTTGAAAGCAAATCTGGCCCCCATCTCTTCAGAATGCACAATCTAAGCGCAAGTCAGTGTAAAAACACCTTTTTAAAATGCAAATATATAAGTGTTCATTGCTGATCATTGAATATTGTATATTGTTACCGACTGTTACAGGTAGTGGGACAAACCCACTTAGATTTTAATGCAAATATATATATATATATGAACGTTTAAGGGGTTTGTTTTCCAAACCCTGTGAGGCCTCCACCAGAAGATGTGTTTCAGCTTCATCAAGAGCTTGCATTATCAGGTGGCCTTGTCAGTTTGGTTCAAGCTACTAGTAGCTTCTTGTTACTAGTAGTAATGCACTTGTTACTAGTAGCAAGAAGCTACTAAATAAAGTTGTCTATACCATGTGTATTTATAAAGTTGTATATTTATACATCGGATGCACAGCACATTGTATAGTGCGGGCTACACTAGCATGCAGTGAGCAGGTCGCCTTTCGGACAACTTCATTGGAAACCGCTGGTGAGCAGACGCAGCAAAACTAGAGTGCCCCGGAGGGCGGAGTTCGCCTGCTACAAGTCACAACGTCACAACGTGGTGTATGTTTGTTGTTTTGCCTTGTGTGGCATCCAGTAGCTCGATGATTTCTCCTGGCTCGGCAGCGGATTGTGGTGCATGCTTCTGCTGGAAGGGTGTAAGGAAGGGAAGGAAGGGTAGAACAAGGAACACAGGGAAACAAAGGGAATGCAAAGCCAGTCCTCATATGAGAGCAGCCCACTGATGTTTGCTGAGGATGCAGTTTCATGAGTTTTGGACGTCGCCAGAGAGTTCGACATTTTTACTTGTATTCTGAGATGTTAATTGTGAACTCCTCTCCGCAGCCAGAGTTCTCACAGTGTAGATTCGATGGGAAACTGTTGCACAGAGGACTGATTGCACAGTCAGTCCCCAACATCTTTACAAAGAAAGCAAAGGGTTTCTTTGTGTTTTGGAAGCTAATCTGCAGCTTTTGTGTTTGCCCGCTTTTGGCAGAGTGAACTTGCAAGGATTTTCGCGTTGATGGGCAAGAGTTTCAGGGCCCAAGCAACGATCTTGGCGGAGAGTACGCCCAACCACTCGCAAAGCCGCTTGATCCCTCAAGCAGGGGTCCAAGTGTTAAGAGTCAGAAACATGGCAATGCTTCTTCAAACCGTAGCTTTTGCAAAAAGGAAGAGCTATCGCTGCCAAGTCGATGCCACAAATACCAAAAGCTGGCACCTCAGTAACTGCATGGGTCCTTTGCACTGACACACACACACACACACACTGATTGCGGAGGCAAGTCGGTCTTGCTTCGTTTGCTACACCTGTGCTGCTACCGGTCAGGCAAGGTCCAAAGTCTTTACGCTTGGCAGCTTCGAACCCCCAAACATGTGAGGTGAGAAAGGGAGACATTCCCCACCTTCAGGCTCGTGCGGCATTGTCCAATTCCCTTGTGTTTGTCAAGAGAGATAGGGCTTGTGTAGCGGGTTTTACGAGGTCGCAGATCTCCGTCAGAAACCCTGATACTCCACATACTGCAGTGGTTTTGATTATATTCTTACCCTATATCAGGTAAGGTAAGGTATGGCTGAAGATAAGGCTACGGTATAAAAAGACACATGGCAATCGATCTTGAACAGTTGCTAGACAAGCAAGGCAGAGAGAATTATACACAACTGTAGATATATATATAGTTCCTACTGGCCCAACTAATTAAGATTTTTGTGTGAGCATGCGAGCATGTGAGCCAGGGTGTGCAGCAGTCTGGTGTGGCTCGCCCTGAGTATGCAAATCGACTGCTGGGCCGAATTACTTGACGCTACTCCAATTGCCAACATGGAAGGCCAGACACACGTCGCTTGTCTGGTCTTTACCTGTCATAACCTGACATGAGATTGCCAAGATGGCAGCAACAGTTTCGGGAGCGACAAAAAACACCACAGAAAAGCACAAGTACAAATACAATCAAATACATTTGTACAGTACATGTTTTCAGTACTTTGAATCATTCGATTCTGAATCGATTTCCAGTTTCTGGAGTCTCTGGCCTCAGACAAGGTGAGCCGTTTCACTCCAAACGCTTGAAAGAAAGCGAAGCCATGTCGCCGGATATGCTGTGAAGACAGAGATTCTGTGATGTGGGCCCTATTGCTTGTAGGTTGGCTTTTGCATTGGGCTTTCCTTTTCTTCCTTCTAAAAATGTGATTCCACGGAAGAACATGCAACATGCTAGAAATTCTACATGCATGTGGATGACGCGGAGTCAATGCCTCCTGTAGCCGTTTGTTTGCAACTAGTTCTGCCAGTGCTCTCCGAGTGATCCTAGGCATCGACTAGGTATTCTATTGGCAGAATGTACATATGTTACTTATGTAAAAAAAATATCCTGTACTTGTTTCGAGGGTACTTCATTTGTGGATTGTTGATGCGCTTTAGACCTGGTTAGAACATTCTGTTCCCTCCGCTACAATCAATTTTAACTGATGTGCAAAAACAGCAAGCTCACTAGGTTTGGTTGTGGAGACACTGACGTTTGTTGTTTGAGCTTTGCCAAACAATTCCTTTCATGCACAGTAAATGGCCTAGGAGTACAACTTTTGTACTGTCCCCCCGGGCCAAAAAAACACAATGGACTTGGCCTTGCTTTGCCGGAGATGGCGAACGATGCTGCAAACATAAAGGACCATTAAAAGCAACCTTCGAAGTGTTAGTAACAACAGAACAGCTAATTTGTGACGCAGGAGCTTGAGGCATGCCGAGATAAGCCATCTACTCAGTGCAGTCTGCCAACGCTTTGGTGATAAATTCCATCATTTCATTGCAGGCTCCAAGCTTGCCGCGATGGGTCTGGCAAGACGGACGGCAGTTGAGCTGTGCTTCTTACGCATATACTATATTTGTCAATTCGTCTATAAAATCACTCGGGGGTTCATTGATTGGCTATATAGCAAAGCAACTGTTCTGCAGATTTGCTTCCATCCAAACCAAAAGTGTTTGCGTTAGCATGTCGTCTTGGCAGGATGCAGCGAGTATTGTGTCAATCTTTCGCGCGATGTCAAAGGTGAGCGTCAGCGTGCAGTCTCTTCGAGCCACTGGTGTTGCGAAGGCCTGTGACAAGCTTGCCACTGTTGTTTGGCTTCGAAGAGCCAGCCATGTCACTTGTCTGGTGCAGGAAGCCAACCATGTTTTCTTCAGAAACAATCCAGACATCCAGGCGCGAGGGGGGCCTTGCGGCCTTGCATGATTGAGGTGGCGCAATCAGATGGACATTCATTTTTTGCTCAAAATTGCCCAAATGAAGTGCTTCTTTGCTGCCGGTCCGTTTGGTATCCTGCGTCGGTGATCCGCCTCCACTAATGACCAATCTCCTGTGCGTATCCCCACTTGACGCCTTTCAGCCACTGATCCTTTGATCGGCTCCTTGTGCCCGATGAAAGTGCACTTGTTCCATGGGTTCCATGGGTTCAGCTTGTTGGTGGTGTGACGTGCTGCTGATTTTGGGCCTTGACGACGATTGCCTGCCAGCGATGTAGGTCTGTTTGTGCATCTTAATTGCTTCTCGTTTTTTTAATCTTCAAAGGTTTGCAGTCTGGTGTACATGCTAACATGCAAGCAGCAACCATCGCTGATAGCGCTATGGCACGCTCTCGACTATCTTTTTCCCCCTGGCTATGTCTTGCGTTTCGCAAGGCAGCTCTGTCTCACTCAAACTGCCTCATTCCGTGAGAGCACATCAGCAGCGTGGAGTGAAGTGCAACACTTTATGCTGGAGCACAGGACGACTACTAAATTTGATGCACCTTGCCCCCCAGCTGTCTGCCCGCAAATTCACGCCACACCAAAGGTTCTCAGGGCAGGATGTTGAAGCCTTGTTCTCTCCTGTGACCTTCTCCTGCCGCGTGTTCTGCATCCGGTAGTCCATATCCTTTTGGCTGGTCGTCTTCTTCTTCTTCTTCTTCCGGTACTTCCTCCCCCTCCCCTTCTTCTCTTTCAGCCTCAATGGCAGGGTCAGTCAGCCGCCTCCTCCTCCTCCTCTCCTCCTCCTCATTTTCTTGTTCTTCTTCTGTCTCCTCCACCCTTTTCGCTCTGGCCAAGTTGTGGCCAACTATATAGTTGGGGTCATCTAGGGCCAAATTGACCCTAAGATGAGCCCATGATCATCGGAAGACGTTGCTCCGAAACGTCCAGCTTAGCCGAGTTTATCCGCTGTTGAAAAACATTAAAAACTCTGGGTTTGTAGCAGCACAGGCCTTAGTAGCGACTTTTTGAGGCCTGTGACTTTGAAAAAAGGGGTGGGTTCTGCAGAAGTAACCACTAAGGGTTCACTACGTTGTTGAAGCGTTGCTGCAGCACGAGTTGATCACGAACCTCAGCACCTTTGGTGCTGGCGGATTTCAGTCATTCTGCAGCTTCCTCTTGCCCGAGTGTTGTGGTCTCACATGGTTCAATGGTTCGGTCGTTTTTCTCCCAGGACAAGGTGTAAGTTCCAACGAGGAACATCTAGTTTACTAGTGGAGCAACCGGAATTTCTTCTTGTCTCATTTTCTTTTTCGGTCCGGCTCTCAAAATTAGGTGAGGGAAGCCTGCGCCAAGCTGATTGCATCCTGGAAGGCTTGAAATTCCAAAGCGTTGCGCAGCAATTGCTGATAAATTGCCTGGTAGGAAATAGGTTTGGCAAAGTCCGGTGCCGAGATCTTGAACGACGAAGTGACACGAGAGGTTTGTTGAGGGTTTGTCGTCGTTTCAGCTCTATATCTTTATTCCGAGGCGGCCAGCAACACCACCGGTTGCGGAAACTCTCCCTCCTGCGAACATGCCTCAGGTGTCTCATGTCCCTTCGTTGATTTAATTCCAATCTGGAGACCCTTTCTAGGCTTGCTTCCGGAAAGGGTGAAGAGGAAGCGCCAATGAAGCCTTCCAAGGACTTGTGTTTTTTGAAAAAGAACAACTATTTTCACGGCTTGGAAATAGTGAGTCTCGGAATCTAGATAAGAGACAGGAGAAGCGGACAGCAGATGTGACCAAGCCGGACAAGACGGAAAAGGCAGCAGGGTTCTTTCATATTCGAGAAACGGTCTCAGAGTGATGATGAGGGGACTTGCTGTCCAGGCGAAACGAAGCAAGAAAACAGAGGAGAAGGTTGGCGATACACCCAACGCGGAGCTATGCCCAGCAAAAGCGGTCCATACTCAGACTAACACGGATCCTCACGTCTAAATTCAAGGAGCTTGCTGCACAATTTAAAGAACTGGCGAGTCACGAGTTCAAGCCACCGTCTCGGAGTTTTTTGTTTTGCTGCGTGTGCATTGAATCGTTTCGTCAGTCTTTATCAGACTAATTCTTCTTGACATCGCCAACAAATTGATGCGCTCACTAAGGAAGGGGGGGACGAGCAAATTTGCAGGCATCGCCTTCAACAAGGCCCGTATTGAAAGTCTGATTCTCCAGCGCAAGTGCATCCGATCACTGTCAAGGTGGTTGCAATTCTGAATGGCTTAGAACAGAAGGCCTGGTGGTTACATTTTTTGCGTGATTGTTTCACTTTGCTTCTAAGAGATGTTCCAGGTAACTTCTGGATCATCTATTGCGCACTTGCCCGGGATTGGAAAGGCGCTTGAAGCCTTCTGTTCAATTCCTTTGCAGAAATGCACGCTTTTCAGGAGACTGTGAAGAAGATCGATCAATATTTGGAGAAGGGCAACTTGGCTGCGAAGTTTTCCCCTGAGAAAAAGACATGCTACAGCGCTACATTTCGGTAATCACCACGAGGGTGGCCATAGGGTTACAGTCTCTATGTTTGCGTGATCTCGCAGGAATCATAGACAAGCTCGAGAGGATCCGCAATGGTGAGGAAGATTAGGTGCCATTTCTGCCATGATCGTTTAGCATTTGCATTCCTGATCCAACCTACACAGCAGAAGCTCTGTGGCTTACTTGTTGCAGAGCCTGAAAAGAATTATAGCTTGCATCAGTCAAAGTTCTTCATACAGTCAGTGCTGTGGCTAGTGTTTTTGTTCTTGAATGTTTGTTCTTGGTTTCTTGCTCGAGCTGTCTCAGCTTTAGCTAGGCTGGTCTTGCCATGAAGAATCCATGAAACAGTTTCAAGCAGGTTCCAAACCGGTCTTGTCCAACAATCAAGCGCATGCCCGCAGCTCGAACCGTTGACAAACCCTTCCAGGATTGCGCTAGGACTTGTCAGGATGGACACTGCGCAGCTGGTTTTGAGGCTTTGCTTTTTATTGTTTCGACAATACTTGACAAGCTCTGTTTTTGCACATCTCGCAACCAGAGGTCACATGTGCAGAGGTTTCTTGGAGCAGCTGTTGAGTCCAGCTGTGCCGTGGCTCAACCTTTGCTTCTTACTGTGAGAGTAGGAACAACTTCTGGCCTCGGGCCTCAAAGTACTGTGTATGATACATCTGTATTCCATAGATGAGCTGTTCTCCCTCAATGCAGCGGTGGAACAGCGCTTCATAGCCTTATAGTTTATAGCCTTATAGAATTTGATTCAATGGCAAGGGCAGAAAGTCTAGGCCAAGAGTCAAAGCTTGAGCCCAAACTTTGGGGAAGCTGTCGCATAGATTCTGGTTTGAATAGTGGCCCTAAATTGACCCTTGTCGGAAAAGCAGAGGACGGTGGGGGCACGCGAATAGAGAGCACTTGGAGCAGAGGCGAAGACCAGAGAACTCGAAACACAATGTATTTAAAGTGTTTCTATTTTTTTTTTGTCTTTATAAGACAAAGAGTATCAAGAGAGCATCAAGAGCTCTCTACTTCTTTTGGAGAACGGCCTTACATGCAACCGGCCACCTGATCAGGTCGTGCGTTACAGTCCAAAGCAAGTCGCGCTGACTTTGATAAAGTGTTCCAAGTGCGCCAGTAACCTTGTGTGTATGCAGCATTTGCACAACTTAGCAACATATCAGAGGAAAAGGAGGAGAAACACCGGCGCCAGAACCCCCAATAAGCCCAGAAAGACCAGAGACCAGACCCTAGCTCCCCAAAGCGAAGCCGACGGAAGAATGCATTATTGTCGTGCAAAAACTTTCACACGTATTTCTGACAAAGGCAACCAATTCTGCCCTTTGTGATTTTCCGCGTTGCTAAAGGGTAAGCTCCGCAGAAGGTGAGACTTCGGAATGTTTGGTCAGGTCGAAGTTGAAGAGGCAGACTAGGATGACAAGGTTATCTCTATATATATAAAAAAATGTTGTGAGTGCACAACCATATTCAAGTTTCAAGTCTTTTGAAGCTTGTTCACTCCCATCACTGTCTGAAGACATGCGTCATGAGTTCTAAGGCACACGTCCAGGAACTCGTGGAGCTACCTGCCCAGGCACAACGCAGCTGGAAAACCTGTTTCTGTGCCCATGTGCAGCAAAGCCACAACCCTTCAGTTCAGGGTTAGGAGCAGGTCTTGCAACATGGAAAGTGGAAGCTTTGGTTAAGTTAAGCAGCTGCAGAGTTTGTGAAAACACGCAGGAATCCCTGGGCATGGAAAACACTGCCGCCTTTCTAGCAGTTCCCTGGAAAAGTTCGTTATTTGCAAGCTGCCGTGCATTCCAACGCTGGAGAAGACGCGCTTTTCATGAGCGCAACAATTGCTCACGCGCTTCAAAAGCCTGCGATGGATCGACAGAGGTCACTGTTGATCTAGGCACCGTGCGCTGTGCCAAGGGCATTTGAAGGGGTTTTGTTGACAAAAAGCAAACTGCCAGGGAATGGTATTCGGTTGTTTGCTTTTTGCGGGTGTTTGCATCAGCAATAGGCCCTAAGCAAGAAAGGAATGCCATGGGCTTCAGCTTGGTTCTTGCCCGTATCCAGCAGGCTCTGGTGTACGGTAAGCATGGTAAACTGTCTCAGGAAGCCAGTGGATAACGCTCTCATCGCGGCAACGCTTTCATCTCCAAATACATCAGCGGTGGAAACTACGTCCGCTTCGCGCGCATTTACGTGCCACGACTCGCCGTCCGCAGGGCATGGCACGCGTGATTCCAAGAAACCCAGCCACACTGCTGCGGGATACCAGGAATCCACCCTGTCCAAGTCTTCAGCTCCTCTGTCGCAGTGCGTTTTGGCCTTAGAGGCTTTTGCCCGGATGTTTCTCATATTGTTGTGGCGGGGGAAAGCTGGGCCGCTGCGCAAACTTCTTCGGGTATTACTTTACGGATAGCCGAAGAAGTTAGTGCAAGAATCGCCAAAGCGAACTCCGAAGGAGGTTGGCCGAAGTTCTGGTTTACAGAGGAAGGGTCAGAATTGATAGCTGCAAACGATCCAACCATTTAAAACCGATTTATCATCACAAAAGGCTTCCCACCCCTCACCCACTTTCCGTGATAGAATCAATTGGTACCCTCACGAATTGATTTTGTATTGATTTCAAGGCTTACACCTAAGAGCGGGCCGGGCAGGCAGGCAGGCGCAGGCACAGCTTATTTTTGTCTTTCTCTTTCTCTTGCTCTGTGTCTTTCTCTTCATCTTTTTTTATTCCTCGTTATCTTCCTCTTTCTCTGGCTCTTCCTCTTTCTCTGTCTCTTTCTCTTCCTCTTTATCTTTCTCTGTCTCTTCCATTGTCTTTTTCTCGTTTTCCTATCTCCTCCTCCTTCTCTTTCTCTCCCTTTTTCTCGTCCGCTTTTCTCTGCCTCTGTGTCTTTCTCTTCCGCATTCTCTTCCTTTCTCTCTGTCTCTCTCTTCCTTTTTACTCTTTCTCTTTATCTTTTTTGGAAGAAGAGAAGGAGAGCAAGCAGAAGCAACAAATGCTGATAATGCAATACTACTCGGTGAGCATATCTCGCACCACGGGTCTTTGAAAACGACCTCACATCCAGAAACGCAACAATCTTGAAATTATTTGTTGATCCACCTTACATAATTTCGAGCAACTTCGACCATGCCCGCGGTGGGTCGGTGGTTGGTCGGCGGCTCGGCCATCCCGAGCCTACCTCTGGGCGGTGCCAGGGCCTGCCTGCCCCGACTTAGGAAGGACCACCCCACTTAAGGATCACTCGAGTGATTCCAGATTAGTGTTCGATAGTGTTCGAGTATTTCCACGCAAGGCTTGCAGAGAGTGCACCGTCGTGGTCATTCCGTTACGTGGTGGAATGAGCAAGATATTCCTTTGCGTTGGCTCCCACTTCTCAAGGGTTGTTTTGTAGGAGGAGTGCGGCAACTGAGCTGCGACCTAGAAAATGCATTTTGCAAGTTCTCGCTTGGTTTCCTGCTGCCACTGGGCGTGCAAGCTTGGATTTGCACTCGAAACTTCCCGCAGTGATGGTGGGCTGGCCATTCCAAGTCGTCCTTAGGTCTCGGGGTTTCTTGTTGGGCGGTTGCACTTGAAGGCATGTTTCAGTTGGGTCAGGTCGGGTGTGATTGGCCTCCAGCTGGAAGTGGGCTGTCACTGCTGGTTGGTGTAGCCTGTTGCCTTCCACTGCAAAAAGCTCTTTGCGCTTGCTGCTTGGGTTTTGGTAGTGTGCGAGGATTATGGGTTCATGTCGTTGAGAGAGGTGCATCGAAGTCTTCAAATAATGTTCCAGCAATTTTGTGACTTTGTTTTTTGTTTCTTGCCGCTTGTTTGTGGAGAGGTTTATCAGAATGGAAATCATGGACGAGGGAGACGGAAGGCTGCGCCTTGAGCTTGGCATTTTTTGGAATGAACTTGCTGCTTTTTGCAGGTGAACGGTCTATTAAGTAGGGTTGAAGCCCTCGAGCAGATTCAGAAATCGCCTGGCTCTCGACCCCAGAGTCGATGCTTGTCTCTTTCAAAACTGAATTGTCCAGGCTGGATGACAAGACTCTCACAGTAAGGCCTGTTCGCACACCGATTCAGACTTCAACATTTTTATTCCTATTTGCCAGGGAGTGTATGCCAGCCCTGAGAGTTATGGGTGGGCACCCCAGAATTGCTAGCGCCTGATCAAGCTTTTGAACTCTAGATATCTGAACGTATTTATATACAAATTGAGACCAAACAGATTCAAATGCCACGCGCCCAGGTGAGAGAAGTCTTTGGCAACATGGCATCAACTTGCACACTCCTGATCTTTTTGCTGCACTGTTAGCTTATGAGAGCTTTTCCTGTGTGCGTAACTTAACTAAGGCTGGCCAGCATTGCATCCAGAGGTTCGAACAACATTGAAACACAAATCACTTCATTTCTGCTATTCCATTTCGATTTATTTGCGACCAAGAGATTCCCAAAGTCATGGGTTCTGGAACCCCGTATGATCTGATATATTTGGGACACTTTTTGGTTTATGTTTCGGGTAATTGAAGCATAGTCAAACGCCAACTTTGATTGCTTTGCACCAGGCTTACAACCAGATCAATTTATGTTCAACAAACTGATCAGTCTTTGCACCAAGAACAAGGTGGGTTTTGGCAAGGTTATGGGGTTGAGTGTTGGCACTGCAGCACTGCCACTCCAGTCTTGCAGTGCCAGGCAGCATTGCCAGCCTCTCAGCATTTGTTTCTGGCATTTTCTGGCTGTGCGCTCCAAAGCCTCCAATTCCAAGGCCTTCTTTGGAGCTGCTTGGAGATATGGTCAAGCGCAGAATCTACCCAGATGTGCAAGCTTGTCAGAGTCTGATTGAGGGTCCCTTGTAAGCTTCGCTGATTCACCTGAAAGACCAGGCAATATGGTCATTGGTGCACTCGCGCCCAGCGGGTTATGGGAGGAGGCACATGATCATTGTGGAATTAGCGACAGGGTGGTTCGCTGATTCTTCTGATGCTGAAAGAAGCACGGAGGCTCTTGAGGTGTTACAGTCGATGAAGAGATATCAAGCAGAGCCTGACACAGCTGGATTCTCATCAACTGGGATTCAGAGACGGAGTTTATATATGGGTCACGTATGCGGATTTAAAAACGAAACGGACCTGACTTCTCTTTCATCCGCAGTGTGTTTGGCTTCAGCTATGCCAGTGAGCCCTCCCGGAGCGGGAGGGCCACATCCACCAGCGGATTGTGAGTGCCGTTTGTGCCGAACATTCCGCAAGGTGGCATCCCTGGTGTTCGGGGCTGAGTCGAACCAGGTATTCAGAGACCGTTGCCAACCCTACTTCGAGGGATTGTACACACAACTACTTGAGATTGCCCTGGAAGTGCGGGGTACTGCGGCCTCCAGCTCAGGCGAGGCTGCAAATTCAGGGCAGGTGAGGCCCGGAGGCCCACCACCTGCCGCTCCGGCTGGTCAGCCGGCTGAAGATCCAGTGGGGCGTGGCGACCAAGTGAAGAGAGAAGAGACCCCTGGCCAGGCGGGGGTGAAGCAAGAGGAGCAAGAAGTTGCACCAGTAGTGGCCCCACATCAGAAGAGGGGACCATCTGCGAAACCTACAACCAAGAGCTCAGAGGAGGCGGACGCAGAAGGAGGTACTTCGGCTGGATCGCGGCCGGAGGTCGAGACTGAGGAGCGCGAAGAGTTTGAGCCCAAGGCCAGGAAGTTACCACCTCTCCCTCGCCAACGGAGGGGGGGCTACGACCAAGGAGATAGCCCAAGGCGCCGGAGGCGGCGTGAACGATCGGGCAAACGCCGGCGTGACGTCTCTCGGACGCCCGGCCGTGAGCAAGAGCTGCATCCCAAGGCGGCTCCGAGCAGTCGACGGCCGCGAACGCCTTCGCGAAGCCCGCCAAGTGTCCACACCCCGGAGGACCGGTCATCCAGCGGCGGTGCACCTCGAGGAGACACAACAAGGTTCCGAGGCACTTCATTGGAGCTGGCTTCAGGGCAAGAAGACGAGGAGACACCACACACGCTCCCCGCTGCAGAGGAGTCGGAGGAGGCAGTCGAGCTCCCGGAGGAGGAGGTCCCGGAGTTGGAGGCACCAGAGCCGAACTCCCCTCCCACGAAGGGAAAGGGGAGAGGAAAGGGCAAGGGCTCCAAAGGCAAGAAGGGCAAGAAGTCAAAGCCCAAAAAGAAGAATCGAGGCCTCAAGAAGACGTGGAGGAACATCGAATTCTACGCCAACAAGCGCCGTGACCCTACATGGCGCCGAAGCGGGCAATGAGACGACCTGCAGCCGCCCCAAAGAGAGCCCGGGTGAGGGCGAGGCCAGCGGCGCTAGACGCCGACGACGACTGGGAGAAGCCATCGGAGGTGAATGTGCGGGAGTTGAACTCCTGGCCAGCAATTTACATACAGGGGCTATACTGGGACAACAACGCCGAGGTGATCGGAGAGATGATATCCCTGGAAGTCGGGGAGGATGGCACGCTGTTGACCGTGAAGGCTCATGGGACAACATCGGAGGAGTTGCTGAGGCTATTGTCAGGGAAGGCTTCGAAGCTGCTGCAAGTCCACCTTTGCGACGAGCCCTGCAGTCATTTGACCTGGAAGGAGGGGTTGATCCATGCGCAGAGGCTCAAGCGTTGTCATTTCGAGGACCATGCATGGAGCAGGAATGCCGAAGTGAGCGTCCGAGAAGCCGAGAGGGACGAGCTGGCGATCCTCAGAAGGGAAGCTGCCGAACGAGGAAAAAGAGTAGGAGTCAGTTTGGGGGCTCCTGGTGCAGCCGCGGAGGAGGCGGCTCGGCGAGGCCGACAAGAAGAAGAAGAAGAAGCGGAAGAAGGCAAAGGAGCGAATGGTGCCTGTCAAAAGCCTCGAGTCGCTTTTTGCGACGACCGGCCTCGACCCCAGAGAGGAGGTCCGGCGCAGGCTTCGCAGGAGGGCCAAGCGCCTGGGGCGAAAAGCCCGAGCCAGGAAGAGTTCGTCAGGCTCCAACTCGAGCAGCTCTTCAAGTGGAACCTCGACGGAGGAAGAAGGCCCGCCCGAGGAGTTGTTCGCCCCGATATCGGCGCCGCAGCGCATCTGGCGCCGGTATCCTGGCGTTCTCACATCGACGATGATTTTAGAGGCACAAAGGGTGATGTTTCTTCAACTTGGAGCAGGCCTTCACGAAGCGGAATCTCAGAGCCTTCGTCCAATGGTCCCAATACTGCCGGCAACACCTCATGGCAGGCATGGCTCCACCAGTGGCTCGAGAAGCATTGCACTGGTCCGCCGTCCTGGACTTGCTCTTGGAGGGACGTGTGGCCAGTGCGATGGATGTGATAACCCAGAGACTGAAAAGTCTCGAAGGGTTGAGCAAGTCGATGCGACCGGATCTTCTTCGACAGCTGGAGTTGTTGCCCCTGGACCGCGGGGGTCTGGCGACGTCAACGGAAGTGCAAATGAACCACGAGGCGAAAGCGCTCCAGAAGTCCACCAATCGCCCATGGGAGGAGAGATCCAAAGGAAAAGAAAAGGGGGAGAAAGGAAAATGGAAGGGTGGCAAGAGCGAGAACAAGTCCATCGACCACGACAAGAAGAAGGAGAAGGGAGACGGAAAGAAGAAGTCGTGACTTACGAGATGGGCGGGAGTCCACGGGGCAGCCAAAGGGCGGCCCTGGTAAAGGCTCCTGGAGACTATGAAAGGCAGTGCATGCACGGGGCCAACTCCGAGATCGTGAGTGATGGCGTTGGTCAAGAATTCAATAGACCTGGTAAGATGGCGACGCTGCACGAGGGTGAGCCATTGGACCCTATGATCATCAATTCTCCTGGACGAGTTGCAGAGTCGAGGCGGGAGGAAACCACACCTGGCGAATGTCAAGAGTTGGAGGACTCCACCATTGCCGCAATCTTTACAAGGGCAGTTGAGGTGTTGAGAAAGGACGGGCAGCAACATTCACGACGCTCCAACACGGAGCTCGATCACGGGCCTCAATGCCCACCGTTCCCGTTACGGATACGAACGGAAGGCTGGGGTGCGAGATTGGGCTTCCCCCACCTGCCCAAGTACGACATGCTGGTGACCGGGACGATGGCGGCGCTCAATCATTTGGCTGGATTTGAGGGCTCCCTGGAACCGTTGCCGGATGAAGCGGCCTCTTCGACTTTGTCACCTGAGACAAGTGTTCGTTCGCTTGCAGAAAAAAGACTTGCAGCTCTCGTCGTTCGCAATCGCATGTGGGAGGTTCCATAATGTTCTTTGTCCTTTAGTGATTTTTTCATGAGGCGCAAGGTTGACTATTGTGGGGAGGAAGTCAAAGTGGCTCAGAGTGTAACGTGGGCAGCTGTGAGTGAATCACTTCCAGAAGGTGTAGGAAGTTTACCACTCACGGAGTTTTGCACTTTGGGCACGAAGGGATATGTGGATGATTTCGAGAAGTATTTATTGCCGAAGGACGTACAGATGAGGGTCAAACCACCGCGTGTCATGATCAGTGAGAGTGAATGGCGCAACGTCTGCCAAGGGCTGATTGAGAAGAGGGTGTGCGAGGTATGGCCTGTGACCCAACTTCACCATATAAACGGGGCTCCATTGCTTAACGGGATGTTTGCAGTAGGCAAGGGCGAGTTCAAGTCAGGCATCGAGACTCAGCGCCTGATCATGAATCTAGTGCCAGTCAACCAGTTATGCAAACCGCTTCAAGGTGACGTGGGAACCCTTCCTGCGGTCTCAGGCCTTAGTGGTTTTCTCCTGGGGACGGGGGAAGTCGCCCTCCTATCATCTGAAGACATCAAGTGTTTTTTCTACCTGTTCTCCATTCCTGATCCCTGGAAGAAGTACATGGGTTTCAACAAGGCAGTCCCAGCAGATCTGAAGGAGTTCGTGGGACAGGACTGCGTCTTGGTCTCGCGAGTATTGCCGACGGGATTCCTGAACTCGGTCAGCGTCGCACAACACATTCACCGCAACGTGGTTCGTTGGGCAGCGCAATCAGGTGATCCCCCAGTAGGAGCGGAGAAAGAACTACGAAAGGACCGGGTCATGAGCTCAGCTGCGGACTTGTATCGGGTTTATTTGGACAATTTTGATGCCCTGGAGAAGGTGGACGCCGAACTAGCGGGGCAGATCAAGGGTACAGTAAAGCCACAGGTGGAAACCCTACGGGAGATGTACCTTGAGCATGGCTTGCCACGGCGCCCCAAAAAGGCAGCCGAGAGAGTGACTCTGGGAGAGTTGCAGGGGGCACTTCTGGACGGCGAGGCGGGCTATGCCATGCCAAAGCCACAGAAGGTTATTCAGTATTGCAAGCTGGGCTTTGAACTTTTGGTTTGGGGGCACTCCACGCTACGTGAACTGCAGGTGGTCTGTGGGGGTTTCGTGTATCTGGCTATGTTTCGTCGACGGGGTCTTTGAGCACATGAAACGGTTCGAAGGCGAGGCGCCGGTGGTTCGTCTAGGGCTTCCCTACCAAGTCAAGGTTGAGATCGCCAGGTTTATTCTCTTGACCTCCCTCGCTCAGATGGAGTTTCGTTCGCCGGTAGATGGTGAAGTGACCTGTTCAGATGCTTCGACGCTCGGAGGTGGACTCTGCGCCTCCAAAGGGTTGACCAGTTATGGCATGAGCGCAGTCATTTGTCCAGCACGAGGTGATCTTCCAGAAGAGCATGACATTGTACAAGTGTTGTCCGTGGGTCTATTCGACGGGATAGCCGCGCTACGAGTAGCGTGTGATGTCCTGGGGCTGCCAATGGCAGGCCATGTGAGCATTGAAAAGGATAGTAAATGCAGGCGCGTGGTGGAGAGTTTCTTCCCTGAGACAGAGTTCTTTGAGGACGTGTGTGCATTCGAGGAAGAGCATGTCAAGGCCCTCGCGCTCAAGTTTAGCAATGTGGGACTAGTCCTTGTGGGGGCTGGACCTCCATGTCAGGGAGTCAGTGGGTTAAACGCTGACCGCCTGGGGGCGCTACGGGATGAGCGCAGCTGTCTCTTCCAGGAAGTCCCTAGGATTACAGCATTGTTCAAACGGGTATTTTATTGGGCGCAGGTACATGAGCTTGTCGAAAACGTGGCGTCCATGTCAAGTAGTGACCGGGCAATCATGAGCGAGGCATTTCAGAGGACCCCTTGCAGAGTTGACGCCAAAGGGATATCCCTATGCGCCAGGCCAAGGCTGTACTGGACAACGTGGGAGTGTTCAGAGGCTTTGGGCGTCTCCCGGGTTGCAGGAGACGGCGAAGGTTGGGAGGCGTATGACAAAATTGTGCTGGAGGCGGAGGTGGATGGCAAGGCTTTGTTGCTGCCAGGTTGGAGCATACAAGACGGTTGTCACTTGCCCACGTTTACCACCTCACGGCCACGGAACACTCCTGGGCGGAGACCAGCGGGAGTTGAACAGTGCTCGGAGCATGAGTTGCAGCGGTGGTATGATGACTTCTACAGGTTCCCGCCTTACCAATATAGGGACAGCCATGGCCTCTGGAGCAAAAAAGGTGAGTGGCGGAGGCCATCTGCCCAAGAAAGGGAAGCGTGTATGAGATTCCCTGTCGGTTATACCAAACATTGCGTGGTGAAAGCTGAACAACAGGGTGAAAGCTATGAGGACGCCCGCGTGTCGCTCATAGGCAACAGTTGGCATGTTGGGGTAGTAGCATGGTTGCTTGGACAACTCACCCAGCCGTTAGGAGTTGGGCCCAAGATGACACTACAGGATATTGTTGATGCTATCACTCCTGGCAAAGCGCGAGATTTCCCATCTATGTTGATGCGGCCACCTCATCAAGGACGGCTGACAGTTGCTCAGCTGGGTGCAGAGGAGAGGCTGGTGGCGAAGTGTTTGGGCCTAGCGTCCAGTAAAGGAGAAGACTTGTTGGTGCATGCGGTGAGCGATCCTGCCCGTCGTTATTTCAGATTACGCGCAAGCGTCCCTGGCCGACTGTGGCATTGGCGTGAGATCTCCGGCTGGAGGTGGAAGCTGGCAGGTGAGCACATCAACGTTCTGGAGTTGCGGGCAATTCTCACTAGTGTCAAGTGGAAGGTAAGCAGGTCCAAGAAGTTAGGTGTACGTTTCCTTCACCTCACGGACAGCTTGGTGTGCCTACACGCGCTGACTCGGGGTCGGAGCTCGAGTCGGAAATTGAGACCCATCCTCATGAGGCTTAATGCATTGCTGTTGGCGGCTGACCTCCATCCCCTTTGGGGATACATACATACCTCGCAAAACCCGGCCGACCGGCCCAGCCGGCGGCCCGTCCGTCGCCGATGGGGAAAGTAGGTAAGAAGGTTTTGGAAGGTCAGACCAAACAGCAGAGGCAAGCACAGAGGAAAGAGCTAGGCACACTTCGAAGTCTCACCGTTTCCACAAAGACAAGCCATAGGTATCCGAGCAAAGTTTTATGATTTTCTGCGTGAGAACTCTCTAGAGATCCCCCGCCGACGGGAGCAATTTGACAGTCTCCTGGCGGAATACATAGAACACCTGGTCTGAGGGGGAAGGACGCGGGCTGGCGGCCGATACGGTAGCCGGCCTGCAGGACGCAGATCCAAAGCTGAAAGGACAACTTCAGCTAACCTGGAGACTTTTAAAGACATGGAATGTCAATGAAGTCCCGAACCGGGCACCACCGCTGACAGAGGCCGCGCTTGAGGCGATGGTCGGCTGGAGCTTTTTTCACGGCCATTTCGGATTCGGTGTTTCGCTCCTGGTGGGTTTTTATGGAATGCTGCGAACAGGCGAATTGACAACCTTGCGGAGCTCTCACGTTTTCATGAAGACAGCTACTGCCCCTGCTGTCCTTAGTCTAGGCCTGACTAAGAGTGGTAAGCGTGTAGGAGCCTCGGAGTCAGTCACCTTGACGGTAGCAGTCGCCCTGCGGTGGTTATGGGTCTGGAAGCAGAGTGTAAAACCACAGGCCCTTTTTGTCCCTTCGGCCTCAGCCTGGCGTAGGCTGTTCTCAGAATGCCTGAAAGCACTGCAGTTGACCCTCTTTGAGTTTCGACCCTACTCGTTGCGTAGAGGGGGCGCTACTTGGTGGTTCACCAAGCACGGTTCATTCGATAAGTTGATGGTAGCTGGAAGGTGGCAAGCTGCCAAAACTGCCCGAATTTATTTGAACCACGGCATGGCAGTGCTGGCGGACATGAGACTTCCCCAAAAATCCTTGTTGCCCTTCGTTCGAGTTTTTCATAACCAAGCGGCACCTCCACACTTGAGCTCGCGGGCGCGCCGCAGAAAAAGGGGGACGTGGAAGGGGGGTCTTTCTTTGCCACTTTTTTCGAAAAAAGCCCCAGCTTGAAGGTTTCGGCTAGGCGAAATGCTTCAAGGGGGGCAAGGGGGGCTTTCCCTTCTCTCTGGTTAGGCGAGAGTTGGGAAAGCTGGGCTCCTTATGACCTTGGACAGGTCAAACCTGGACGGTTCGGTCTGGAGAAAGACCACACTGGTAGGATTCCTGAATCTTTTTTGTGATTAACTGCGGAGCGTTGTGAAAAGAATCGACCGTGAGTTTTTGGGTCACGTATGCGGATTTAAAAACGAAACGGACCTGACTTCTCTTTCATCCCCAGTGTGTTTGGCTTCAGCCCCGCCCCTCCCAGCCCAAGGCTGAAGGAAGGGGGGTCTTTCTTTGCAACTTTTTTTCGAAAAAAGCCACAGCTTGAAGGTTTCGGCTAGGCGAAATGCTTCAAGGGGGACAAGGGGGGCTTTCCCTTCTCTCTGGTTAGGCGAGAGTTGGGAAAGCTGGGCTCCTTATGACCTTGGACAGGTCAAACCTGGACGGTTCGGTCTGGAGAAAGACCACACGGGTAGGATTCCTGAATCTTTTTTGTGACTAACTGCGGAGCGTTGTGAAAAGAATCGACCGTGAGTTTTTATATATATATATATAAGCTACCCCAGGGCTTGTGTGCAGTAGATGTTGGAGGAGAGTCCGATTTCAACTTGAAAGCCTGGCTGAGATTTCTGTGAACTCTGCTATTGCTGCCTGCGCTGGGGGCAGCAGATGGGTGGAGGCGCACTGCGTTTTTTGGTTCCCGATGAAATTGCAAGAGAACAATCCCAAACACACTAGGCGATCCAGCTGCTTGGTGAAGGCCAGTATCATGCTGAGGAGCTCCAGAGACACAGCACTTTAGTTCGCTGTGTCCGCCTTGACTGAGGCATTTAAACAGTGGCCCCGATGTCTGGACCTACGGATCAACCATCCGTGCCTGTGAGGCCTTGACATGTGGGGCTTATCAGAGTCTTCCCACCAAATCTCTCGTTGATGCATCATTACAGGCTAAATGGATTCTGGTGTTGCAACTCCTCGACGAAATGCAAGCGAGAAAAATACAGCCGAATGAGGCATGCTGGTTTTGCTCTTCCACTTTGCTTAGTCGGCTTGTGCCGTTGATGGCTTCTATCATCTATCGGTCAAAACATTGGTGTGCCTAGAGGTGATCTCAGCCTCCGCCATCAACGCCTGTGCAAAAAGCTCTCCCGCCAGATGCTCAAACGAACCGCAGCTAATTAAGCCTTCCAAAAAAGCACTCTTTGCTTTGAATTCGACAGTCATTTGCAGTTTTTTTGTGCTCTCCATTTATGGTCTATTTGGACCGCATGACTGCAAGAAGAAGCTCTGTAAACCTTCTGGTTCTGCAAGTGCAAGGAATCCAGCATTGAGATTTTCCGCAGCTTGAAGCAGAAAGGGGTAAGGTGCTTTCATAGTTGTTGTTGCAGTATGCATCTTGTTTCCGGAGTCAGTGGCAGGCAGAACACCCTGTCATACCAGGCAGCTTTGAGCGCGAACTGGCCTTGGAAACGGATAGGCTTCTGCAGCCAGTCACACTCTGTCAGCATATTTTTTTGCTACCACCATTTTGCATAAGGTGCCATGTTGATAAATATCTGTGGTCTTGGTCCTTGTGGCTGCCCAAGTGGTCGAAACGTTGTTTGAGCTTCCAATCAACTTTATTTCATCGGAGAACCCTGTTCAGGTTGTACTTGGAGGAAATGAAAGCACATGGAATCAAGATCGACATTGGAATTCTCAATGCAGTGATGGGTGCGTGCAGCGAGCTTAGTTCAGCAACTTGTTTCGATCCATTCTGACACGAGTCGGAAACTCCATCAGCTGTCCCGAAGAAATTATCTGCAGAGCACATATACATCTACGGTAGCGTGTATCTACAAGTACAAAGTATATTTGACATGTTCTTTTGGTTCCTCCCTCTCTCTCTGTCCCCTCTGTTTGTAGGATAGGGCCTGCAAGACAGAGCGCACGTCGGTTTGCCGAGAGCACCTTAGTGCTTTTGCAGGCCAAAATGCGCACTACTGGGGCCATTTGCAGATCTCACCTCAGACGTGGCACATTGCATATCCCAAATGGTGCACTTTGGAACTGAAAATAGAGCTCGCCGAGGAAGCAAGATGCAAACATGGTTCAGAGAGTTCTTAACGTGCTGAACCTGGTGTTGAAATCAAACTGTTTTCTCAGCGTTTAGATTTTCAGCTCTGGATGTCAGGAAGTATACTATTTGCGACTCGTGCCTAACATTGTCACCTATAGCCACATCATGGCAGCAGCCAAGCAGGCCACGCAAAGTCAAGACAAACTTGTGGATGCACCCCATGATCTCTGCGTAGCTAGACCATACAATTTTTCTCTTTATCTCAGGCAGGAGACTGGGAAAGAGTGCTTCAGCTTCTCAATGAAGCGTCTCCTCCTCAGTAGGAAGCTACTAGGAACAATAAGCTACTAGGAAAAAGTGCCTCGCTACTAGGAGCAAGGGCCTTACTAGTAGTAACAAGAAGCTACTAGGACCTGCCACTTCGCTGTTTGGAGCCACCCCCACTGGGGTTCAAATTGAGACCGCCAAGTGGGTTTAGTTCGCCCAGCATGGATTGCACATATGCATCGAAAAGGCATCAAACTATTTAAGGGCTGCCGCCCCTGCCGCCGACCCCGGATTCTCAGGTCCGGCTTTTCCTCCACTGGTTGGCATTGCGAGGGTTTTTCGAACAGGGGTTTCAGTCGTCCTTTTAAAGGTTGCTCTTCTGGAATCGTCGTTTCTTTCCGGTGTCGAGGTCGGTGCCCGTGCGGAGCGTTTCATTGCCTGCTCTCTGGATTGTTTGCTAGCATTTTCCACCACTAACCAGCCTCCCAAAAAGCATCTGAAACCACCCCTTTGCCACGGCTTTAACCCATTGAGTTCTGCTCCAAACGAGCCCCAATTCCTCGGACGTTCGATGTCAAACGGACGCTCTGGATTCCTAGAAAAAAGACAATTTGCTAGCATTTTCCACCACTACCCAGCCTCCCAAAAGCATCTGAAACCACCCCTTCGCCACGGCTTTAACCCATTGAGTTCAGCTCCAAACGAGCCCCAATTCCTCGGACGTTCGGTGTCAAACGGACGCTCTGGATTCCTAGAAAAAAGACCATTTGCTAGCATTTTCCACCACTAACCAGCCTCCCAAAAAGCCTCTGAAACCACCCCTTCGCCACGGCTTTAACCCATTGAGTTCTGCTC